AAGTTAATTGTGTTGTCATTGTGAAAACAGTTACCTCTGCTTCAATATTTCCTTCTCCTAAACTTCTCTTGGTTTTGGGTGGATATTAAAGCTTCTTTCTTATATTACAGGAAACATATGTTGAAACCATCAAGAATAATGGATTTCTAGAAAGGAAGATGTACCAGATGGATTTCTTATTTGTATCATCGGTACAGGTTTCATCCACTTGGTGAAGGCCGAGAAATTTGTGTTAAATCCTGATGCTGTTGTGAGGTAAGTTAGCATTCTCTTGAATCTTGATCTGGTTTTCTCATCTCTCTCGTTACTCCAAGCTTTATGTACCGGATGATACAAATAACAATCGAGTTGGTTCCTACATGAAAGGAAAAGAAGGTTTAACTAACTATACCTGGTCCTGCTACCTTTGTGTATGTCATACTATGCTACTGTCTTCCGAGACGGGGTTATTCCGGTCTCGACGCCAGATCGCTACTTGCGCCTGTTCAACGACCCGGGGTTGTCGCCCCCCAGACTTACCATAGTACCCTCGGCCGTGTCGCCCGAGGCGTTCCTCAGCCTGATCAAGCAAGTACAGGCAATGGCGGGGATGATGCAGATGATCGAACCACTCATTCCCCAGATCGTGCTGCTAGCGGCTCCCCCGACCGACCCGACACGGCAAAGGCCGAGCGGGGAACATGTCAGGTCGGGAGAAGCCCGAGAGCAGACGATGGACCCGAGAGGTCTGCCCGAGCCGAGCATACCTGCACTCTGCCGAATCACTCCGCCCTGCTCTGAGCCTGACACCATATTGTTCGACTTGGCGGATGACTCATTCAGAATCCAGCTGTCCCGGGTCAACCAACGCCTGGACAAGTTCCAGCACGAGTTCCAAAAGTCGCGGGGCGAGTCGGGCGAAGACAACTCGGGTGGATCCCCCTTTACTCAGGAAATACAGGACAAGCCTATACCCCTCAACTTCAGGCTGCCGGCATTGGAGACGTACGACGGCAGCTCCGATCCCACAGAGCATGTCGCTGCGTTTCGGGCTCAGATGACCCTCTATGGCACCTCCGATGCCCTGATGTGTCAGGCATTCCCAACCACCTTCAGGGGACCGACACGAGCGTGGTTCAGCCGACTATGCCCGTCCTCGGTCTCGTCTTTCGACCAGCTCGCAAGGGGGTTTTAGCAGAATTTCCTCGCCAGCGTGCGACCCAGGCCTTCCATGGTCACCTTGCTCATGTTGTCCCAGCGTGAAGACGAGTCGCTCTCTCAGTTTGTGGCACGCTTCGCCACTGAAATCCGGGGATTCTTGGACGCTCACCCCTCTTTAATCATGCAGGCGTTTCTGATGGGTTTGAAGCCTTCAAGGTTCTTTTGGTCGTTGATCGAGAAGCCGCCATCAACCATCCCCGAGATGCTCCAGCATGCCAACCAGTACATCGCCACCGAAGCTCTGGTGGCGGGAAAGCACATGGATGGAAAGAGGCCAAGGGCCGAACAGTCCCGAGGAACGACCTCAGCAGCCCCGGTGCAACCCCGCCGGAGGCCCGACCGATAAGAGCTGCTGCTCCCGACGCCCCCGCCTATCTCTCTGAATGCATCTCGTATCGAGATCTTCCTCTAAATCAGGGAGAAGGGTCTCTTGCGACAGCCCAACCCCATAAAAGCTACTCACAAAGACCAGTCCAAATATTGTAGGTTCCACCGAGACTACGGCCAGGCCGAAGTAATGAATCGGGCGATTCTGGAGGGCCTCAAGAAGAGGGTCTTGGGCGCGCACGGAGCCTGGGTGGACGAGCTTCCTAGCGTCCTATGGGCAATGCGAACGACTCCCAAAACCGCCTCGGGGGAGTCTCCGTTCAGCCTGGCGTTCGGGACCGAAGTAGTCCTCCCACCTGAGATTGTGTTCCCGACCTTGCTCACCACCAACTACAAACAAGAAGACTCCGAGGAGGGCCTATGAGCAAACCTAGATCTCCTTGAAGAAAGAAGAGCCAAGGCACACCTACGTACCTTGGCATACAAAAAGGCTACGGCTCGGATGTACAACCGCAAATTTCGTCCATGGCCGATCAAAGTCAGGGACCTCGTCCTTCGAAAGGTTGAGGTGAGCGACCCGACTGAGCGAGAGGAAAACTCGTGCCGAACTGGGAAGGCCCCTATCGGGTCTACGACATGGTCCGAGAAGGGACCTACCGACTCGAGACTATGGAAGGAAACCCTCTGCTAAGGACATGGAATGCGACAAATTTAAAGAAGTTCTACCCGTAAAGGATGCAGGTCGAGGTGTCGAAATGACATGTTATTAAGAAGCATGCACATCCACAATTGGAAAAGACAAGTTAGGATTCCAAAACAAGAGTTTTTTTTCATTGATGAAAAAGAAATACACATTGTGGTCGGGCGATACAGTTTCAAAATTCGACCTGATCATAGCAAAAGAAAAGACAAATACAACCCTTAGTTTGGAGGAGTCTCGGGCCCGTCATCAAAGGGGACGCTCGCCGGCATGTCGACGTTCTGATCCTCTGGCTGGTCGGCAAACGGGTCTGACTCCAGTTCTAGGTTCGGGTACCTCGCTCGAAAACGAGTGTAAGCCACCCGATACCCGAACTCGTATATCACCCGCCCCGACCTCACCAGGCCATGCTCAAACCCGGCGGATGACTTATACTCAGCAATCGCCCCCTTGATCTTCTCGGGCAGCGCCAGCCGCTCCTCCTTCAGGACCTCTTCGACGACCAAAGCCGAAGACCTGGCGGACTCGACGTCGTGGGAGAGGGTCAGCAACTCGTCATCCAGCGTCCGGATGCGGGACTGGCTTTCCTCCAGCTCGGCCTTCAAGCGATTTACCTCTTCGTCCAGAGCCGAGGCACGCTGTTCGGTTGCAGCCACGGCCTCTGGGCCAAATCCGCTCTTCAGCTCCAGGTTCTCTAGGCGAAGAGCGGCATTGACGTCCGACTGACGTTCGATCACCCGCCCGGTGTCGAGGACCCAATCGATCAACGCCATGGTGTAGTGCTGGCCCTGCATAAAGATCAGCGTTATGACCCACGCAAAGAAGAATCAAACGAGAAAAGAGCACTACCACTTACCCAGACAAACGACTTGGCCGCCCGATCTGCCAGCGTCTCCGAGGAGGAGCAATAAAGCTCCTTGGCCATGGCCGGTGAAGCGCCCCCTGGATGAACTCCTGGGCAGTCGGCCCGTTGGCCCAGATTCGACTGTCGGCCGTAAGAGTCGCCCACCGAGAGGCGTAGGGAGTCCCCGGCTCCCCTATAGGAAGATCGGCCTACTTAAGGCCTGGTACCGCTCGCCTTCAGCCTGAGAATGGATGCGACACAGGTCTCGCATCGACTTTAGGCGCATCAGTGCCCTATGTGAGGGGTCATTGCCGGACGATCCGGCCACCCCCTTTCCTTTCGCGCTCCCCGAGCCCTCGCCTTGGGGAGTAGCCCCGACGACCCCGGGACAGCACTCTCGCGAGCAGCCAAGCTCGTGGACGTCTTCCGAACCACGGTTTTCGCCTTCTTCTGAGGGCGACTTGCCTCCGGGGACCCCGGCGCCCTCCTCGGTGTGCCCTTCTACGGGGCACCCCTAGCTCCAAAACCCTCGCCACCCCGAGACGGTGGCACGACGGCCTTGGCGTGAGGCGTCCTCTTCATCGACTGAAGATCCACCATCTCTGCAAGCAAAACCCCGGTCGGTCAGCTAGCTCAAGACGAGCGGACGATCCATAACATACGAATGACCATACCCCCAGTGGCTAGGTTCAGTCCCGCTTCGACCAGCCACTCCTCGGTCATCTCCCTGATTGCTCGAGAAGAGGTTGCTCGAGAAGAGGACAAGATGCCCCTCAGCCAATTCACGTCCGCTGTTTCTCTGACAGAAAGCAACGGGGGGGTGTTGTCGATGGTTCGGGAAGTCCATCCAGTACTAAAACCCCACCCTCGACTACAACTGACGAAAAAGAAGCGCCTCTTGCAACCTTTGTTGTTGGAAGGAGCACTGCTGATCTTAAAACCGCTACGGGCGGTTAGGTAATACTCGCCTCGCCCCTTACATAGACGGAAGTAGGCCAGGAAGAGGGTCTTGGTCGGCTCGATCTCAGCACCTCGACACTCCCCGAGAAAAGCCACCAGATAGCGCTAAGAGTTCGGCGCCATCTGGGACGGCGATATGCCCCACTTACGGAGGCACTTCTCGATAACGGGATGCAACGGGAACCGCAATCCTGCCTCGAGGGCCCCCACGGTCAGCCCGAACCCGTCGGGAAACTGATCGTACGGCTGCTGACCAGGCCGAGGGGCGTGAACGCCATAGCACTTCGAGATGCGATAGTGATCTCGAAGTACCCTCAAAAGTTCCTCGGTCACCATCGAGTCTACATCATGCCACGACTTAAGGGTTGCAAGCGTAGCAGAGCTCCCTGCGGCCTCCAAAGGCACGCCACCCGAGGACAAACTGACAACTTCAGCCCGTAGGCCCCCAGAAGAAGAAGAAGACGAAGAGGAAGATGGAGACATCCTGACCTCAAGGTTGGAAGGAAGGAGTCGGGGCGTAGGACGAAGGACTAAGCAAAGTGATGGCAACTGTTCTGGAAGAAGCTTGATACGGTATATTTTGGCCCCCAAGACACGCAAAGTCAGAATCCATACTAAGGCACTGCTCGGCCTTGGGAGCCTCGAGACGGCGCCGCCCCCAAGACACGCCAAGTCAGAATCCGTACTAAGGCACTACTCGACACGTCCACCACGCCAACCTGCGTACGACCGACCCATGTACAATAATATAAAGACCTCTAGCCAGCATCTGGCCGGGAGAAAAAAAAGGAGAGGAAAAAATCAATTGATCACTTCACTTACTTGCTCGTCGGAGGGACCTCGTCAGGTGATCCCGACGAGGGCTATTTTTGCAGGAAAACGCAGTCACCTCACGAAGACGAGCTGCCAACCATCCGGAATCGCCATCTAGTGCACGAAGGAGAGCAGCCAATTGGTCCGGATCCCGACCAATGCCAACCAGCACTCCTCCCTGAGGGCGCAGCCACCTCACGAAGACGAGTTGCCAACCACCCCGGAGAAGGAGAAACGCAGCTCGACATACACGGCGTCCGGATCGACACACCAAGGAACGCTGATCAACATCCCGTCGCGAGGGCCCGGTCGGCCTCGGCATCCAGCTCAGTCGATAGAAGACTCCTGACATCGACCCGTGGACTAGGCC